CACTGGAACGGGTTTTAAGCAGCAGACGCGACGCGGCGCAGCGCGTGGGCGCAGGGGCTGCGCGAGTGGCGCGGCGTGTGGCTGCGCGTGCGCCGGAGCCTCGTGGCGAGCGCCGAGGGCGCGCCCTGGTCGTCGCTCGTGGCACTGCAGTTGGCCGTGCTGCCCGTGCAGATGGCGCTGGCGCTGGCGGTGCTTACCGCGCCCCTGGCGGCTGACGACGCGCGGCTGACCGGAGCGCGCGCGGCGGCGGCTGCCGCAGACGTCGTACTGAGCGGGGGCGTGTTCCTGGCGCTGGTGCTGGGTGCCGACCACGCCAGGCGCCAGGTAGATAGCTCTATTTCCAATTTCCAGAGAGTTCAGCCTCCGGCCATGTGAGAGGTAACTGCTTTTGTTAGATGGCTAGGAAATCAGGAAAACAATCAAATAGATCTGCTTTCACTGAAAAATATTCGACTGTGTTACTCTTCCTGTTCACTTCCTGCGCATACTGCCAGAAGCCTGATAAGTATTTAATATTCACGTGTTGCTCTATGGAACTGCCACTATGCAACACTCTCTATGGAACAGCAACCTTTTTATAATTTGGTATATAAAGACATGTAACGTATATGATCACTTTTTGCCAGTTTATCTGTTTTGGAAAATTTCGTATAACAGAGTTCTACATCTGGTATGGACATCAGCAGGTACATGAAATCTCCTTGACTGCGTCAGAATGTGAGCTGCAGAACACCTGTCCGTAACAGTTACCAATGATCAGCATCAAAAGTTTCATATGTAACCCCGTAATATGAAATTCCCCACTTCATATTCATAGGCAAAAGTGAAAATTCTCGTCACGTCTACAAGCTCCTGAAATTGTACAAGATTTATTCTGATCAAGGAAACTTAAATTTGTTATTGTGGCATTCGTTAAGAGGGTTTTTGTAAAAATATTTAATATTTGTTATTTGTTGAGCATAATTTATTTTTGTTTTTAAAGTGTAAATAGCTTGACACTACAACCAAATTTTTGTGAACCCTCTCCTTGAAGAGTTTTTTGAACCCTTCTCGGCCTAATACAAAAGAGTTCTAACTGCCCTTTTACAGAAAAATTAGTTATCGACACGGTTGATTATGTCAACAGTATTTCTATCGGCTGTAATATTCTGAGATAATTCCGTTTTATCTTCGACAATGTAATTAGTTCTATCTGCACATTTTTATACTTATTAAAAATAAAATGGTTCAAACTGCAATAATCATGGTAACGTCTTTCCAACATATTACTATTGACTAATGCTCCTTTTCAAGTATGATTGAAGCCATGAAATGCCAAATTTAATACAATTCAACAGACATCTATTATTAAAATACTATTTTCTTGCAGGGAAATTTGTTTTCCTTGGAAATGTAAGAAATATTGAACTCATTAGTTTTGCCCGCCTGAAGTTACAAAGTCTGCCAGTAGCACCTTGTCGAAATTTCAGAGTGTGCAACTTGCAAAGGAGAACAATGTTGTGTGCCAGTGATATAGATAAATGTCTTGAAGATTCCAGGGTGGAGTACTAGTCTTGGGTAATGATGAATTTTATATCAAATCATGCGCATATCGCGAATAAAATATTCCATTCCACAACAATCAAGTATCCAAGAAGTTGACAATGTTCACTCACAAACAGAAAAATTAATGTCCCTTTGTGAATTCAGGTCACCCACTTCATTTCTTTGAATTCTGCTTGCTGTTAATATAAAATGACTATTTCACGACCAGCTTCAGCCAAAACAAGATGACGATTTCTTTAACAGTAGTTCCATTTTCCAAAGTCGTGCATCACTTTTCCGCATAAAGTAGGTAAAATTCAGTCCAAATTGAATCCTGTAGATAAACAATTTATTTCTGCAAGTATTCGATCTATCCTCGCCTCAAGACGTTTGGAAGAAAATGCACAATCACTATATCCACCTCTTCGTATCAGTAATAGTTCACTGTCACTTTCAAACAGAAGGGTACGGAAGAGGTACGTTTTCAAAAGACAAAATGTAAAGTTAATGATGAACTGTATGCTGATATAGATAAATAACATTACAAAGCCACACTGTATTGCTAATAAAATATTGAAAACGTTTGTAACTCCTGTAGGAAACTCAAGGTTCTACCTGCATGATAGTGAGTTAAGACACTATTTTCGGAATAAAATAGTTGTATCTGAAAAACTGCATTTAAAATTAAAAAATTCCAATGTATAATTTTCTCTCAAATTGAATGTCAATAAAGATCCTTCATAAGGGGGAATTGAACATTCGCAAAAAGGAATAGAATATCCACGTATGCAAATTGTCTCATTTTGCATACGACAGTAAAAAACTTACCTGGGGAAGAAAATGTTGGGTAAAGGCCCTAAGACTCATCTTTCTGAATTATGCAAACGCAAATTGTATCGCGGGTTGCCAGTGCGTCTGATTACCAAAATATGCCATATTTACCTATTCGGCAGCAATTCACTATTAGGGTTTTGTGTCGATGGATAAACGGTCAAAAGGCACAATGTATCTTTCGCATAGAGGGAGTAATAAGAAACAAAATAATGAGAGGTACGCATTAAATTCACTACTAGAAAAACACCATTTATTGAACAAAAATGATTTGGTACATACATTTTTGTAGTCACCACTGTAATGTTTTTTGTTTCTTTGGGAACATTTTCATGCAAATCGCTTGATGACTCTTCAGTATAGCATCCTGCTATGATGTATGAAGAATTTTCGAATTCACACCCGATATTTAAAGATGAAAATATATTTATATTTAGGATTAGGATATTAGTTAAATATGTTATTTAACTTTTCCATTTCATTCGCACTAAATTCCATTCTAAGAGATCGAATACTTTTCAGTGGCCACAGCTCTTATTATCGGTATTCGTCTAAGGTTATTTGTCTTTTAATCGGTGCGTTGCCATTCCCTGTTCCAATTACTTGAGACAAAGTGCCCAATTTTTTGTACCAATCTCATGCTTCCCGATTCGTAAATCCATCTTGAATGACTATTCAAAAACTCATAGTCACTCGCAGCGGTATCTCCCTTCGTAGTCTCTCAGGCGTCATCGTCAGCGTCATCTTCATTATCATCTTCCAATGACCTCGCTGGCTGGCTGTCTCTGAAGTTCCCGCTGGGAACAATGGCACTACATGGCAATATTTGCGCCGTTGCCAACGGATAACCTTGACACTTCTCGTTACGAAGTGAGGGGGTGGTGGCTATATGGCAACCTACTTGAATAACATGGTTCGGCATAATGTTGCATCATTCATCCCACTTCTCTTTTTATCCTCCAAATTCAGCAAGAACTAGAAAGGTAAACTACCGCTTTGAGTCACTTCCCGAAGATCCCGGAATCAAAGGAATCTAAAGGCGACAGTATGTGAGAATTATGCTCCGCCAACATTGCATCCAACAGAGCTCTCATGAGAGCGCCTTGCTCATCCGAACGCTGCTAAGGCGCAGCCTAGTGGCAGACTGTAGTGCCTGCTCGAGCAAGGAATGTCTTCGCTTTGGATACTATGAAAATGGCTGCATTGCGGAAAAAGCAAACAGAGCCATCTAAGATTTTTTTTCTTTCTTTTCCGCTGTGTAAGATTGTCGAGTAGGCGGATGAGAGAAGGAAAGGGACTGTTCATCGAAAATATAGCAGCTATTATGTCTACAGAATAAGTCTCCAGTGAGGCAAATCCCTATGCTGACTTTCTTCCTCTTGTATCGAAGGTCTAACGCTAAGATAGGAATAATTCTAGAAAAATAATGTTTTTGGAGTGGAAGGGGAGGTTAAAACTTTCAATACACTGAAAAGTTGTTGTTACTGCTTATAGTACTTTTCCGGCTCAACGTAAATCCTCGATATATTAAATATAGTTTTTTGTAATGTTGGCATCAGGTAAACATACTAATGTATTGTAAACGATTATTTTAAAATACGTCTGTCAATACTTGTAACACTACATGTAACACTATTTATGAGGATAGACGGGCCACTGAACTGATTTGTTAAAAATGTCTTTTTATTATGAACCTGCATTGCACACAATAGACGCGCAAGACTTCGCCAGGGGAGTCCATCTGGAGCCAGTTACCTTTGACACCTTTACTTATAAATCACATTATCTGCTCTGTTATTTCCGTTGTTTCTGGGATGTGAATCCTGTTTATGTACATGGAGGGGATGAAATAGTGGGGACCCCGTAGATCTACTGGTTTAAGCTATAAGGTGTATGCCTACACAAAGTAAAAATTTCCTTTAAATCCAGTTTCATCTCTTACGTTTATGACTTTAATGTATTAATGCATTCAGGAAACCTAAAAATATATTCCAATTCTTTTTATAAAAAATACATTTTGAGTTATACGAGTTTTTACTGTTTCATTTGTTACAGTACCTCAATTAATATTTAATATATTTTCATAATTATTTTTCCAGAAAAGAAATTAATAACAGATGCATTATGAAAACATCAATGTTTTGTAAGAAGTAAAATTTGAAATTTTAAAAAAAGTTCTAAATTATAAAAAAATATTTTGGAATTATTTTATTTTGTATAATTTGCATTGCATCCCTTTAAAAAGTTGTATAGTGAAATATTAAATATAGGTCACATAATAATGTGAAAAAGTATCTGGAAAATACAGAAAGAATCATTTAAATTTTTCAATTAGTTCCCGAGTTATGATGCATTTTGTTAACCAATACGCAAGGAAAATGCACTTTGCAGAAGTAATGGAAGGTTGCCTACCTATAGTGCCCCTTCAGCATAAATTACATCTCCTTCCCCTGCTTTGTCTTCCCTCTTACTTTTTCTTCCTTCCAAATACTTTCTCCTGCTTTTGTTCTGTGGTGTTTTCTGCTGAATACCTAGTAGTTTTTTGTTGTAGTGTCTTTTTTATTTAGCCATATTTTCAATACGCTGCCTGCGCTTCTGAGCATTCTGCGCGTGTAGGTGCTGGAGCGTCCGCGGGAGGCGCTGCTATGCGCGCAGGCGGAGGCGCGCAGCGAATGGGCGCAGGCAGAGCTGCACGCTGCGGAGCGAGTGCTGCGCATGGCCGACTGCGCGCCAGCACCCGGAGGATTCGTTCGTCTGGAGCGGGGACTGGTTCTCTCGGTGAGAACCACTTCCACCTTCTCTTAGAACCAGCAACACTTTTTCCGAAATACTTGTTTTTATTAGCAACGCATATTTTAATTAAAATTCATTTCAACAAAAACTAATTTTGAACATCATAATTTAACAAATAACTTCATTAATAGAAGACAATATTTTTAACAAAGGTTATTTTAACAAAGAAATTATCTCACTTACAAACAATTTAACGAAAATATTTATTTTAGCGGAGGCTCAGACGTTCTCCGATGATGGTTTGTTTCGTATATATTTCAATTTAGAAAGCTAAAAATCGTTGATGTTCTTTATGATCTGATTTCTGTTCAAAATATGATGCAATTTATCAAAATTTACAGTTTCAATTAAAGCGACTTTGGCAAAGGGTAAAAAGGGATTAATTTATTCAAAAAATGACAATTCAGAATAAATTATTGTAATATTTGTAGTATTTTAAGACTTAGTATAATGTATTTTAATATAATCATAGGTCACGACGATACATCGGCCTCTATTTGACTTAATATGAAATAGGTTGTGATAGTAAGTAAAAATATCGATTATAGAAAGTCGAAATTCCTTTCATTTGTAGAGCTTAAAATTGAATATTATTTTTTTGTTTAAATCAACATAAATTTATAATATTGGATATATCAATTTATTAATTTAATAAATAAGTAAAATTTAAGTTGTGATCTACAGAGGATCCCACTGTTAATACATGGGATGATTTGCACCATCTGGAGGAGAATTCTAGCAGCCGGATGCTATGATCGGTAGTTTTCCGTGTTTTCTCCTATCAACTCAGGTGAATCCCGGAGCAGAACCCTAAGAAGCGGGCCATGGTCCGCGAGCGATATTTCCTTCCTCTTCTTTATAATGTAATTTATTTACACACACTTTCACTTGAAGGCACTGCCACGCATGCCGGAACACAACTTCAAACCTTAGAGCTTATCCCGGATGGGGCAGTACTCCTATTCGAAACACACCTGAATGAGGAACCCCCCAAACCGACATGTTGGGTGGAACCGAATATCACCACCGCCTTCTAACTAACTAACTAACAAGACTATTGAGAAAAATAGTTGTCGCGCTGAGAAACGAAAACAGTTCTCTCTATTGCTGTCGGTTGTTCTGTGCGCAGGTGGGCGGCGCCGTCATCGCCTTCGTCACGATCCTGTTGCAGTTCCGCGCTGCGCCGTAGCGATGAAGGAGATACTCTCCTTTCGCCTGCTCTCTTTGACGTTTGTTAGGTGTTGTGTTGATCGATGTTTCTCAGAAAGGCATGTAAAGTAGCAGCACATTGTTATTGAAATAAATAATAAATTCATGCACATAACATGTGTGAGTCATTTCAGGTTGTATACTAGTAATGCTACAACAGCTCATACTTTTTGGCATTATTTCTAACTTTTGCAATTTTCGAAAATTCAGGAAGTTTAAACCAGCCGAAGTGAGCCATCCGACGTGTAAGTTAGCGCCAAATCTCACAGTCCACCCTGAAAAGAACATTGCCACCTCCCTAGGACAAGTATTCACTACACTTACGGGACTACTGATCTTAGTCGAAAACACGAAATAATCAATCAGAGAGTTCAACGAAAGTCAGGCATACACAATTCATTTCAGCGTCCGTTCCTTTATCTGTGGACAAAATTCAGATAAAACATTTGAAGCAGTTTTTAAAAAACTTTTTTATAAATTGCTTTAATTTCAAGCAGAAATTATGGAAAAAACGTGACTTTTTTAAAGATCAAATTTTTTTGAAAAGATTTCATTCAAAACAACTATCTCTATTATCAATACTGTACTTTTGCCATGTTAATTTTAACTTTTTGCAATTTTAGAAAAAGCAGACAGTTTGAACTGGAATTCGCACAAATGAAATTAGCACTGATTATACTGGCGAAAAAAGTATTGCAGCGCCACGATTGCATTGTTCAATTTATTCCTCCGTACACACGATAACATGGGTAGATACATGAGAGACTCGTACGTACATTAACAGAGAAAACCATGGACCCGAAACCCCACATTAATATTACGTGTACCCACCGCGGGCAGTACAAGCTCAGCTGCGGGCTGGCATCTCATCGTAAGGTGGCGAATACTGTCCTGCGGAACTCTGTTCCACGCGTCCTGCACCGACGCGCGCAGAGCAGACAGACTTGTTGGGGGAGTCACAGCGCAGTCCGTTGTGTCCATCATCTCCCACATAAGCTCAATCGGCGACAAATCCGGCGAGCGTGCCGGCTAGGGCAGTTGCCGAACATCTCGGAGAGCGTTTGGCGAAGCGCGGGCAGTCAGAGGGCGGGTGTTGTCCTGCTGGCACAGCGTACCGCCGATCCGTTGCAAGAAAGGTAAGAGCACAGGCCACACAACGTACTGGATGTATCCAGCGCTGGAAATGATCCCTCCACGACCACCAAAGACGAACGCGCGTCGGAGCTGATGGCATCGCGCACCATCACTCCCGGTGTGACGTAGACGAACATACTCCGGACGCACGCATTCGCCTGTGTGAGGTCGCACACGCACACGACCATCGCTGGCGTGCAGGCAGCAGCGGCCCTCATCACTGAACGCCACTGCACGCCATTCCGTCTCCCAGCACATTGCCAGCGGTTGTAATCCTGCAGCAGGCAACCGGTTCCCAACGGCGCGTGGAGACACGTTAGGGGCCACTTGTAACTCTATCTCGGCGCGGTATGTGTCTGTATCGGGCCATACGGTCTGCCAACGCCGCAGTCGCCCTGAAGTGGGTCTTTGGCTAAGGGAATGCTCTTCTACCCATCATCGCCAGCACAGCAGCACTTCGTCGGTCAGGTTCTCGTGTTCAGCTATGCGTCGAAAGGACCACCCGCAGGAAAGTCGCAGGCCGACAATTCGACCCCGATTAAACTATTCCATTAGCTTTAAGGACGAACGAGTGTAACGCCGTGGCATACCTAACTCCCGACTAGACCTTATTGCAGTGGACTACACCTTTTAAAGCCGCGGAGTATATGGCGCGTCTGGGTCAATTCGTCACGCTACCATTACTTCACCGGGCGACAGTTATCCCTGAAAAGTTAATCACGGCTTCTATGACCCCCATCTCCAACGTCCCTTATCGCCTACTTGACGCCTTGTGTCCTTCCTAGTGTTACAATACTTTTTCCCGCCAGTGTATTACCGTTTTTTGATACATACAAGGAGAAAATTTAAAGAAAAAATTGCTGTCGTTCCTGAGAAAATAATGGTTTAAGTATTGCCTCTTAATAAATCCGCAAAATTATACTCAAACTACTCAAATTCTGGAAAAATTGTTAATCACGTTATATTAAGATGTCTTTGAACAAAGAGATTTCGTTCAGAAAAATCTCTTATCTTAAATATTGTAGTTCTAGGAAGACAAGCAACAAAAATTGAACTTTCGCAATATTTGGAAAATCAAAATGTTTTATTTAAATGGTTGATTGTGTTAATGCTATCCGAGGACGAAGTCTAATACACAAATCTGGGATAATTTTTAAAACAATTTTGAAAATTTGAAACCATTTTGAAAAGTTTTTAGAACTTGACCATTGTATAATCACGACCATTGAAGAATAAAGAACTAAAATCCGTTCACGGGATGGGTCAATGTGGTTAGAGAATCAATTATTTACGCCAACGTTTCGAAATATTTAATTTCTTCATCAGGGCTTACTAATAATCATACAGGTAACGTCTCATTTCAAGCCTCCACATTTAACTCCACATGGAGTTGCTGGAGCACGTGGATCAATCGCGCGATAATTGTGAGTCAGGCCAAGGCCTAAAAGTAAGTTTTTAGGACTTCATATAAAGTATTCCAAAAATTGAAATATGTGTTTGAAACTCGCAGGATCTTGGGTTCCTTTAAATCGACCGGGGATCATCATTTTTGGAGGAAATCGTCTGAACGGTTTAGACGCTAGCGTTGACTACAGATAGAGTAACAGACATTCTGCCGTCAATCGACTTTTCTGTATCCAGAAACCACAAAATATGGATTCTGACTACGCACCCTGCTACATGAAGTAATTTACTACATATATAAATATTTTTAGTCCATTCTTTTGTTACCACTCTGCGGTAATAAGATTGTTTTGCCAAAAGTTGCCGATTTTCGGGGAGTGATCTTTTTACGAGAGTATTTCTTTCGAAGAAAGGCAAGGAAAAGGAAATACACCAAGTATTCTATTCATTTTGATAAACATTTTTATAAGAGTTTCTTTTCACTTTCACCAGTTTCTTAACAATTTATTTTTCTTCAAAGGTCCAAGGTTATGTGTGATAGTGAATCGAAGATCCCAGGGGATTTCCAAGAATCTGCAAAGAAAAAACAATATTTTCGCATTCAAAGAAAAACCAAGTTTGTGAAATTATATTTGCCAGATCGACTTGACAATGTTTCGGTACAAATCTCGCCCTCGGTGTAGCCGCTATCGTAATTCATAGGCGCGCGGACAGACGAAAGGAAGGACGAATAAACGAAAAGGAATTTTGCCGTAAACCAAGTGTGCGGTACCAAGGTCCCCGAAAACATAGATTCTGGCTACACAACGGAAGAATGGAATGTTTTTTATTATACGCAGGAACAAAAATATTCAAATTTTGTAGGATTAGGGATACATAATGCGTGTTCTTCTGCTGAAAAATCGCTGTTTTTTCTGCAGCATTACAATACTCTCTTTACTATGTAAGAAGGTAGTGTGCGAAAAATTAAGCAACTTTCCCTGTGATAACCTCATATAACACTAGCACGAGAGCACGAAGGAAAGTGGGGTGTAATGTGGTTTTACCGGCTGGCGTGACTCAGGACATCAGCTGATGTTTCTGCAGTGCTCCCGAACGGTGGTCCTAGAATTCGGGTTCCGTGTGTGGAAGAATTTCCCGCACTTACTTCATAGCTAGTGGGTCAAATTCACCCACTCTGGGGGAACATTCTAGCGGCACGCTGCTCTGGTCGGTAGTGTTCCTTGGTCTCTGTGATTAACACCAGGGGATTGCCGGAGCAGGACCTCAGCCAAACTGGGCACGGACCGCGCGGGATCTTCCCTTCTTATTCCTTGCCCTATCTTCACCCTTGCGCACATTAACAGCTACATGCACTACACTACCATATATGTCTGGAAACCAGTCGGGAACTTAGAGGTTGTGTTCCGCTGTTTCAAGATACTTAGATGGGGAAACTCGGTAAGCCGAAGGGTATTCTTATCATCCAGCGGGAAAGATCACTGCCAACTTTGATAAAGAGCATGCACTATACTTACAGGAATAATTACCATAGCATTTGACGCTCCAGGAAACGTGAAATAATCGATCTACCTAAAGATTGGGTGTATGGGCCTGTGCTCGAAATAGTGATTGGACTATTCCGGCTTATTCCATTGATAACTGTGGACAGGGTAAAAAACATTTCTGTGGAATGGGCAATGACTAATGGACTAGTTTTACTCTATTGGGCACCTGGTGAACTTGGGTTGTTGAGCTTGATTGTAACTTTATGTATAGAGGCATCTTTGAGGCTTTTCCACAACAGCAGGTATCACGGTTAAGAGTTAGTGGGGCAATTTGGCGTGTTCAACGAAAAGGGAATGATGTGCTCTCATTGGATGGAAGGACCGCAATGTGCGCGCCATCTGGCCATCATCGTTCTTCCCTAATGGGTCTACGGCTCTCAGCGGTGTGAACGAGGGATGAGTAGGAGGCTGATGTCAGTGCATTAGAGTGCCAATGGCCTGCCAAGAACTGAGAGCAGGTGCCGTCGGTTTATCCTCACGAATGAAGACGACGATAAACCCAATGATGATAGTGCTGAATGTATGGAGATATTAAAAAGACTGTTTAACTATTTCCGTGTGTTGCTTAATTGCAAATCTCAACGGCTCGCGGTTCACTCTGAGACTGAAGCACTTGCATAATCCGCCGCTTGGCGCGCGCGAGTAGGCCGATGGGAGCAACAAAGCACGCGAGCGTCGCGATAAAAAACGAACGAGCGCGAGAAGCGCGCAGCGCGCCGTGTAAATTCCGGGCCGCCGGATGACGGATGGGACCCTGCGGGGCGCGCGCCCGGAATTACCGCCCCCTCCCCCCTCGAATAGGCTGCTGCGCGCAGGGGAGGAACCAGAGCTTCTCGCAGCAACAACTGCAAAGTGGTCAAAAAATGCCTCAAGAGAAAGAAATAAGTTAATTACATAAACTAAGGTTGTACGTTCGTGCTAAGGTTATACGTTCGATTAGTTCTAATCGTAAATACAGAACTTAAATAATTATTTGCAAATAGTTAAAAGAGAGATATGGACCTTAGCTCAAGGAAAACAATA